TGCTTTCCATTGCCATGTTCTTTGGCATCAGACAAAAGGTCATTGACCGAGGCATCAACATCCATCTGCTTGCTCGGTGAAGACGATTTTCCCGCCTTCTGGCTGGGTTTGTCTTGTGAGGGGTTTGGCAAGTTATTGTCGTTTGTCACCCTCGGTGACCTCCTCACACGCATACCTTTCAAGGGTTTGTGTTAGGGCCGTAGTCAACGACTCGGCCATCCGGGAAAAGCCTTGTTCCATAGATTTTTGCAAAGCAGTGATCTGAGCGCTTGCCATGTCTTCATCGTGTTGACGGGAGTCAATGATGACCTTTTCCCCGTCTTTTTCATTGCCGCGTCTCGAAGACTTGGAGGGTCTCTCTCCTGGTACCGGGTGCATCTCTACATGAATTTCTTTCGGTGTTTTAGTAGGCAAATCAGGCGGCATTGTGTGTGGGAAAAACCAAGTTTTCGCAGGACAGAAAAGACAATCCGTTCACAACGAAGGCAACAACGCACTGAGTTGACGCAGGCGCAATGCTATCTCATGTGATCCCTCTGTGGGTGACAAGGTGGAATTAAGAATTAACTTGTACTGGAGAAAACGTTTTCCAGGAAAGGCATTTGAACTGTTGACGACACTTTGAATTCAATTTCAGATCGCCAACACTTGTAACAAGTATTTCTTGAGACAATAAAGTTTTGACCAGCGACCCTGTAAGACAGCGCGTCGCCAAATGTTTTTAAAATTTGTGTTTGTATTTGTTTACACTGTCATCACAGCTTGAGCAGTCCGAACTAGTTTGCACAAGAAACTCAATGCCGAAGAGATTCTATTTCTATCTCATGGAGAAACTATTTCTTCATGAGAAATCGTGTATACGCACATCTTTGTATTGACGTAATGAATTGAATAAAGAAATCGCACTTGTGTACCCATATTTTTCGGTCTGATTAAAGAGTTCGAACGCCACCACCTTGGTTTTCTATGAACAACGAAATCTAAGAATAAGGGACAGCCATGGTCATTTCACGTTGTTGTTTTGCAGACTGGACGGCAAAGAAAATTCAAATGTACCGAGAATTATAACGCACGTGTACAGCCATTGTTTTGCTCATTAAACCGTTTGTTTGGTGACGTTCTCGTTGCTGTTGCCGTCGCGTTTTGCGTAAAGTCCCTAGTGAATAAACAAGACGAGGGACTTTTCTGAAAGTCTAATCCTGAAAATGTGAATAGTAAATTGTGTTTTCAAAGCACTTCACAAGCCTTAATAGTTTCAATCTTAGTTAACATTTTCTGAACTTAACTTAATGCCATACGCTTTTCGTCATCGTTTTACTCTTTGAATTTATTTTGCCCACGTTGAGCAGGAAAGTGCTGATTTTTTGCTAGCTAATTAGCCAAAAAGAGCCTTAAATCATTGTTACGTTATATTGCGCAACCATTCCCTTTGGGAACCAGATTGGAGCTGTCAATTAAAACAGCAGTTCTGTAAAAGCTTAATCTGCATTCACGTATACCCAACTGAGCCATTGTTATTTATTTATTTTGCTGCTCAGCTCGCCCTGTACGGGTCCGCAAATGATCCCAGGGGCCTGTTTCTCGAAAGCT